CTCCCCCATCCTGTGCCCTGACGCTCCTCATCCCCCAGGACCATGCACTGGTCCCACGTTTTATCCTGGAGATGCAGGTTCAGGGTCAGGCTGACGGAGTTGGGCTGTGAGCAGCTCGGATGAGGAGAGGCAGTCCCTCTCTGACACGTCCCATTTCCCTGATTAGCACAGTCATTACATGGACAAGAAAGCCATCTCCGGAGTGATGTGTGGAGTTTCCCTTCATTCAACGGGCAGGGTGTGACTGACAGCACCCCCAAGACTGCGCTTCCAGAAGCTGTGGTGGCTTTTCCACAGCTCCCAGCGCTGCACACACCCGGGTTCACCTCACCCTGTGCACGGCTGAGGCTCATGCAAGGGCAAGTGCCCAGTTTACTCACAGCATCACCCAGTTGCATTTGATCCCCCAGAGCCGTGATCCCCATCCGCAGCCAATCGAGTAGAATGGAAGGAGCAGTGTGTCCTGGACCACATCCATGTGCACAAGGATCCCTGGCTCTCCTCACTGCAGGGTCCCTCTGGAAGCTCTTGGCCTCCACATCGCCTTGTGCCTGAAGTCCACAAATGGGTCACGGCTTGAGGAGCTCCTTCCTCCACCACTCTGGGGTTGCTATTGCGTCTCCTGAGAAGGAAGGCTTGCGCCCAAAGCCTGAGATGGGGAGGAAGGCTTTGAAACACAGTTCTTGGACTCACTGCAGGATGAGTGCAGGGGGAAGAGGAGTTTCTCGTGGGTGGAAGTGGCCATGCAGAGTTTGCCTGAAGCCCCACAACCAAGGCCCCCAGTTCAGAGATGCCTGGGAGCCACACTGAGTATGTGGGAATGAACCCTAAAGCGCTGCAGAGGAATCCATCCTGGAGCAGGCTGCTGGCTCCTGGTGCCGTGGGCAGATGGTTACTCCGCTTCCGTGGTAGGCTCCTGGTGGCAATGGCAGGAGCTGCCGGCAGACACCGGCTGTGCTTCTCAGCCTCCTTCCTCCTCCGGGGAGAGCAGAACGGGCCCATGAACACCATCCACAATGCCCCAGAGACACCCACTCCAGGCGGACACATTAATCCTCTCCCCTGGAGCAGGAGATCCAGGCTGCCATGACCACAGGCATGGGAGCCCAGTGTGGTTGCCACAGGTGACATTTAATGACTGATGAACTACTTGCTAAAGAGCCACTAAAGCTCATCTGACACTGTCCTGGCTTCTTGTGCTCATCTGCAATAGGGACAAGGGCTGGCTGGTGCCCAACTCACCTTAGCATCAGCAGGGGTATCTTCCTTGGCGTTCCTTGTGACTAATGTCCTATGAAGAAAACCTGACGGATGAGTCAGAAGCAATGGCAGCTGGAGCTGCCCAAGTCCCAAGATGGCCTTAGAAGCCTTCTCACCACACTACCTTCTGCAGCCGCTGCTGCAGAACTGCTCTGCTCCAGTGACTGAGCAGCTCATCACAGTTGTGTTTGTCAGCAACACCAGCAGCGAAAGCCGAGCTCTGGGACAATGCAAATGCCATGGACCACTTGTTCCCATACAGAAAGCAGCTTGCTCAAGGCCAGGTTCCAAGTGTTGGTGGTTAATGTTTAACAAGAAAAAGCCCAGAGCAAAGGAATAAAGTAAGAAATATTTAATTCTATGCTGCCAGTGGGCGCCGGATGGGCTCCGCTTCATAAATACTTCAGCATTTCTGCTCGAAGATGAGCTCTGGCTTCCCTGGGTCTGTGTGTTCACTTCCCCCTTGGCCAGGCAGGTCCTATGCTCTACACTGATCCCTCACCTCCAGCAAAGGGCAGCAGGAATGGGAATGAGAGATTCACAGCCAAGGATGAGCACTGGGGCAGGGAGAAAGTGAGAATGACAGCAGGGGAGAAGTATTTGTGTGGATGGGCTTTTGGATGGGGCTTCAGCATCCCATGACCCGCCACCCCACGGGCTCTTACAGGACAAGAACTGCTGCTATTGGACAGCACCAGGCACCACATACGCCCTGCTCCTGTGGGTGCACAGCCACATGTGTGACAGGTCCCCCTGCATGAACGTGATGTGTAGCAGCATCCCTGGGAGAGCAAACCCCCCCAGACTCCTGCTGAGCCCCCCGTGGTGCCCGCTGGGCCAGTCCCGTCCATGTATCAGGTAAAAGCCTTTTTGTTTGTGGTGCTGGTTTGTTGCTGTGCCAGTGACTCCGGAACCCTGCGGCCTGGGGGCTGAATTTTGTCAAGGGTGTGGAGAACCCATCGCTGCCGTGGAGAGCATCCCAAGGACAGCGCATTGTGCACCACACCACCGCTGCCACACACACACACAGCCAGTAACATATATATATTATATTATATTTTATATATATATATGTACACATTAACAAAGATGTTGCAAAAAAAAACCAACCCAACAGAAAAGGGGAAAAACTGTAACTTAAGAACAACAGAACAACCCTCCCCCAAACCAAAGTGGAACAGGAACGGTACAGATGGCGAGGGGAGGCTGCCGGGAGCCAGGAGCTCACCACAGTCCAAGTGCACACCATAGTGTCACCAGGAGCAGAGGAGACCCCAGCAGTCCCGGGCCCCACCCCGTGTCCATGTGGGGAATGGGTTCACTCATACCCCAGGGCCACAGCACCAGAACCATGGGCGCTCATGGGCCGTGGGCAGCACCTGGGGAGCATCATCAGAGTGGGGGACCAGGGACAGGGCAACTCACTCACCCTGTGGTGACACCCACATGGGTTTTCCGGCTCCAAGACTTGGAGAGGACACTGCGGGTGAGCCCGAGCTGTGCGCTCAGGGTGCGAGCCCTGCTCTGTCCCCTGTGACCCATGTGCGAGGGCAGGGGGAACCCCACCATGATTAGTGCAATTTCATCAGGTGCAAACATCACATTAATGGCTCGTGTGCTCTGAGTTACCGGGCGGCCGAGTCCTCCAGCAACCGGCCAGTCGAAGGGTGCCGGGGCCAAGCTCGGCACCTGATTGCAAATGCTAAAATCCATCTCCAGTGCTTGGGCATTTGCTTGAGGCTGCCATGTTAAGAGCAGCCCCATATGGGATCGGCACACAGGGAATGGACTTGCACAACGGCCCCGTGTGTCTGAAAAACATCCAACTGAAAAGGGCAACTTATCTTCTTACCATGAACTCTGTGTGTGTGCTCAGCCATGGGGAGCAAGTGGTGTGACTCAGCTGCATCTGCAGGAAGCACATGGAACCGCTCCATCCATGCGGAAGGGATGTGCCTTAGAAGGCAGCCTGGGTCAGAAGGAACGTGGCAGTGCTGGGGCCAGGTCCCATCCCACAGCTCCCTCCCTGCAGCGTGTCACCAAAACCATCAGCAGTGGGTGCTGTGCTGGGAAACAGGCTCTGCACACACACTGACCTTGGACAAAGCAGCCTCCTGTCAGTCGTCAGCACCAGGCTTTGTGCCATGGGCCCCCCCCCAGCCAGGGCACTGTGGGTGCACCCACTCCTGGGCAGGGGTAACTGGCTCCGGCCATAACAACCAGCCAGTCCCAGCCCATAGTTCTCCCAAGTGCTGCCGCCCCATCTGAGCCAGGACCCCCACCTGGGGCTGTGCTCTGAGGTAGATCCCTATCTGTCGGGTCCGGGAAAAGGAAAGGAAAGGCCGGCAGAGCTTGGAGGTCTCAGACTGGCTGACCCCACGAACTGCCACTGAGGCAGCCGTATCCAGAGGAGAAAACTGGGTTTTCAAACACCACAGACCAAAGCTCAAGCACCAGCCTGGCTCTGGCTGCTCATGCTGCCTGACCTCCTCCCCTGGCATCTGCTGCTGTGCGTGCAACATGGACATCACACACCCCAAATCACGTCATGGATCCTGGCTGCAGGTACCCACACTGACTCTTTGCCCCCATGTGCCAAGCCCAGCTCCTCCTGGCTTTTAAACAAATGTGGGAATGGAAGCTTGGCCACAGGACTTGGTGCTTGTGGTTACTGGGAGCACTGCTGGCCCCCAAGGTGCTCCCAGTAACCAGGGGAGGCTAGAGCCCCTGGAACAGATTCAGTCCTTTGCCACAGAGCAAACACTCACACCACCATGGAAGAGAACAGAGCAAGAGACAAGATTTGGGGTCATAAACTGTGATTTGGGGTCACAGAGCATAGAGATGGTCTCTGGGCAGGATGTGACCATCCACTCAGCATGGGGTGATGTGTTTTTTCTGCAGGGACACCACACATGAACCTCATGGAGGTTCACGTGGAGCAGCACGTGGCAGGGACAGACGCTGCGCTGGGAAGGGGCATCTGTCAAACCTCGGTGCTGGGGGCAAGATGCTCTCAGCTTGCTTCCCAAGGTGGGTCCCTGACTCCACTCACCACCATCCAGCACATCACCAGCATCTAGCACATCACCAGCATCCAGCACATCACCACCATCCAGCACATCACCAGCATCTAGCACATCACCAGCATCCAGCACATCACCACCATCCAGCACATCACCATCCAGCACATCACCATCCAGGGCATCACCACCATCCAGTACATCACCATCCAGCACATCACCACCATCCAGCACATCACCACCCTCCAGCGCATCACCACCATCCAGCGCATCACCACCATCCAGCACATCACCATCCAGCCATCACCACCATCCAGCGCATCACCATCCAGCGCATCACCACCATCCAGCACATCGCCATCATCCAGCACGTCACTACCATGACCACACCCCCACCACACTGCTCCCCAGGCGTGAGAGGGCCGTACATTTGACCACCATGCCACAGATGCTGCCCAACTCTAGCCAAACAGAAAATCCTCCCCAGAGAGCAACACTCTGGTTCCGCCTGGCTCTTGAGACAAGCTACCAATGGGCTCCAGGGCGCAAACCCCTGCTGTTCCAACCTGGGCCTTGCAGACACACGAGCTGTCCCCCTCGACCACTGCAGCGCCTCAGAACATCACCCGACAACCCACCCCGGCCTTTCCAGCCCCCAGGAGAGGAGAAGCCATCGGGTGACAATCTTCCTGGGAAGAGGCTGCAGCACGCCGCAGGTGGAGCTCACCATGAGCAGTTTGGTTTGTTGTGGGCAGTGGTTCTTCCTCTTTCCCCTTAAAAAGAATTCATCGAGCTGCGTGTGGGAGGCACTGGCCTGTGGGAGCAGGATCTGACCACCGGCATCACCAGCACTGCCAGCGCTGTGGGCAGGGCAGGGCAGGCTAGTGACAGGCTTTCATTCCCGATACATATGGGGACTCCTGGGGCCTGCAGTTACACTCCTGCTGCTCTGGGTAATCGATGAAGTCCGGGGAGGGCAGACCCGAGAGAATCATCAGGGACTTGTTCCAGATGGTGAAGGTCGGGCACACAGGCAGGATGAAGGAGACTTCGAACGTGTGGAGGTGCAGGGAGTTGGCCGGGTCATAGAAGGAGAGCGCGTTGTTGTCGTAATCCAGGAGGACGCCGAGGCGCTTCATCTGCGGGTGCACCTCCACCAGCATCTCCTTGTTATTGTGCCTCACCACAAAGTTGTTGTTGCAGCGGGAGAAGACCCACGACGAAGAGTTCTTCCCGATCCACTCGTTCCTGGGGGCTGACTTGTATGCCACGCCTATGGCATACCTGCAGGGGAGGAGAGGGGAGACTTGGATTAGCCGTAGCCTCAAGGACAAAGTCCAGCCCTGACACTGCTGCTGCTGCCTTCCTGATGGCTGCTTTATAAGGGTTCTCCTCCTGTGGGAGCAGCACAGCAGCAGCTTTATGGGATGAAAAGGGGTGAGAGGCAGCAGTGACACATCTGGACAAGTTTGAACCCCTGCTCTGTTCTTTGTGCCACCACGGAGCAGAGCTGCCAGCTCACGGTGAGACCGGCGCCCCCCGCTGTGCCTGGTGCCCCAGGGGACAGGAGGTGGCACTGGAGCCCCGGAGAGCTGCAGGTCCTTCTCTGCCTTTGACCTGAGCATCCCTGCCATGAGCATCCCCAGGACACAGGGCTCCAGGCTCAGGGCTGATGCCATCGGCTGCACCAGCACGCTCCCTCTGCAGAGACACGGAGCTGCAAGGTATTGGAAAGCTCCTTCCTCCTCTGAAGGCCTCACGGGATCCAGTCACCAGCAAAACAATGCCTGGAACGGGTCCATTTCTAAGCAGCCGCTCCAGACACAATTATTGCTTGAGAAACAGCTCACAAACCAAGCTGCTGAAGTCAGAAACTGCTTTTTACTGAAGGCTGCACTAATGTGCATCTGGGATGCATCATGGGGCTGGGGCCTGAGGGCAGCCTGAGCTGCAGGATGCAGCAGTGAGGTGCTAGGGATGCTCTGTGCCACAGCTGGGAGTGAGCAGCAGAGCTTAGGGCTGTGGAGGCAGCCTCCCCAGGGCGACAGAGCCATGAAGCAGCATAGGGCGATGGAGAGCAAGCAGCAAGTTAGGCTGTGCCCCTCTGCCATCACTGGGCAGGGATGAGTATCCCAACGAGCAAGCTCAGGGTCAGGGAGGGCAATGGAGATACAAGCTTTACCTTGTGGCCTCACTGGATTGGAGCCGAAGGCTTCCAGCAGAGAGGAGAAACTCATCAACCTCTTGACAGCCACAGCCACCAGATTTAAGGTCCCAGCAGCCTCCCTGTCCATAAGAAGCTATGCCAAGCCCCAGGCCTTTAACCCTTATGTCTCCCACATGTCTCTGGGCAAACCTGAGGGCTCCCAGATGAAGGGAGGGAGGACAAGGTTGGTGCCTACCAGGTTGAGGATCCCACCACCACCTCCCAGTAGTGACAGCCGCTGTCAATGAAGATGTTTCCCACTGCTCCATAGCATCCTGTCCCGCTGAACCTCTCGGGCGTGTGGCTCTTCTTCAAGGAGCTCTCATCCTTCTCCATCTGCAGCCCATCATTGGAGATCTTCAACTTCTTGTGGGCCATCTTGGGGTCCAGCTTGAAAGGCTGACCTGTTAGTGGGAGGCACGCAGATTAGGATTCATGTTTGTCACTGCATTTGTCCTCTGTCAGTGATGTAAAATGTGGCAGAGATGGGAGGATGATGCCAGGCAGTGGCAGCAACCATTGGGATGCACTGTGAGCCAAACCGAGGCAGGGTGGGCAGCCTGAATTCCGGAATGGATCCATGCTCTATTAGCAGTAATGAGAGCTCCACAAGCACAGAGACAGGAGGGCAGAGCCTGAGGTCTGGAATAACAGCACCAGTCACAGCAGCAGAACCGCAGCATTGAGCACGTCTCCCCCAGCAGCTGACCCAGGCTGCTCTCACAGCGCCCAGGCTGCTATTGCGTGTCACAGGCAGCACAGCCCGAGGTTTTTGGTGCTCCTCTGCTGCCAAACAAGGTGTCAGCACCAGAGAAAGCAGCCTGGAAGTGAACACAGGTCCAGCCTCTGTTGAGGAAGACTGGGTGGGAGGTGGAGCCCGGGGCCTTCCTCCACACTTAACAGCATCCAGCTTGATGCATTCTGCAGGTCTGCAGTGCTGGCCTGAAACCCAGCTGCTGCAACTCCTCTTTGACCTTACCAGCACACAGGCAGCCAAACTGCTTCCTAACTGCCACCAACCGGTGCTGATCAAACCCTTCTGAGGATCTCAAAGGCTCCAGCAATGCCTGCAAACCATGCACTGCTATGGTCTACCCTAACCCGCACCCGCAGGTCCCCTGCCACGGCCAAGGCAAGAACCGTAGAAACCACCTTCCCTGAGCTTTATTTACTGTCAGAGCTGGTTCTGTCCTGGTATTCTGGCACTTTCATTCCCTTTTGGACACTTGCTAATAAATAAGACTGACTCAGGATCAGGCTCTGCAAAGGAAGGTTTCTCTCTGTCACTAAACCAGAACCGTTCTCCCAAGGTCTTCTGTTCAGGAACACAGATTTAGCCCCAGCACTGACAGCACTAACGCTGCAGAAATCAATGCGTCCTGACACTGACCTTCTGGTGATGAACGGATCCCTCCAAATATCCCTTCAGGAGCAGAAAGAGGGCTGTGAAATGTGATAATTGGCCCTTCTCCCTGTCGAGCTGCTGACACTTCCTGTGAGGTGACGGCAGCAGAGGAGCCTGCACTACCTCCTACCATCCACAGGGAAAGGAGGAAACCCTTTGCCATAGAACAACAAACGTGAAGGGGCAGGAGAAACAGCCCCTGGTGCTGGGGATGCAGCACGAAGCGGTGGCACCTTCAGTCAACACCACCCCAATGATGAGCAGGGAACACCCCAGAGGAGCCTTCATACACAGAGACAAACGATATATGGAATCATCATGGAATCCCAGCCTGGTTTGTGTTGGGAGGGACCTTAACGCTCATCCAGCTCCAACTCCCTGCCAGAGCAGGAACACCTTCCACTAGAGCAGGTTGCTCAAATACTCTCTCTCTACATTATACATATCCATACTGCTGAATCAAACACTCAGAAATTCTGAGGTTCCCCTAAACACTTTCCCTGGGAAGCACAGAAACCCTGCACCCGCGGCACAGGGATATGTGCTCACTGCTGCCGTGCACCTCCTTCTTGGTCATTCTGTGTGCAAAGAGAGCTCCTGGCGCACAGACTCCTGTTGTACACAGTAACTTGTGCAGTGCTTCAGGTGGGGATTGCTCAGGATTTATAAATATGCAGGAAGCTGCTGCAGATACATCCCTGCAGCAAGGGGCTGCAGAAACCTGAGGAGGCTCTTATTTAGGGTTAGGGTGATTCTTGATCAAATCTCAGTCTGATTTCCCTGCCCATATTTAACCCTCCTTGCCCACCCATAGGGAGATGTGAAGCACAGTCTTGCTGCAGCTGCAAAGCCCCATCCACCACCACACAGACACTCAGTTCTCCTTACAGCTCCCCACACACTCCTTCCCCTTTCTGTGAGGAAAGGCACGCACAAGTACACAACTGCACTGGGACCCCTGAAAGCCCCATGGTGTAAAGTGACCAGAAAGATGGTCCTTCAGTGTCCCCCAACATCCCAGCTGCTGAAGGACCTGCAGGCACTGGCAGAGCAGAGCTGATGGCAGGGAGTCCCGGGCACTTTGTGGGGTACCAGGAGACCAGGAGGCTGTCCCTGGAGGCAGGGAAGGAGCTGACACATGGAGCAAGATGGGGCATTTGACCATCGAAACCCTGGGTCTCCACTGCGCTAGCAGGGAGTGCTCAGCCATGCCCCTCTGGACCTGGGCACCACGGAGCTGCTCCCGCAGCACCCACCGAGGCGAGGTGAGCACCCACACGTACTGTTGGTCTTGAGCCGGGCAGGTTCGCTGTTCCGGCTGCCCGCCTGGTTGATGGCCTTGACGAGGAAGATGTAGCGGGTGCCGCTCTGGAGCCCGTGGACCGTGTAGTGGTTCTGCTTGATGTTGGGGACAATCATCCAGCTGTCCATGGAGTTGTAGAGACCTGGGTATAGGACATGGTGGAGAGGAAGGTTTATCCACAGGAAAGGACAGAGCGCAAACACCGTGTGCTGCCAACCAGACCTGACTGACTGCGTAACACTCAGGCTGATTTATACCTCCCAGAGAGGAAGAGGTGCTATCATCCTGCAGACAAGGACCAGCTTTAGACCCTTCATCAGAAAGGATGCAGTGGCTGAGTGACAACAGTCTGGGAATGATTTGGCCTCCCAGGAAGGTTTCTTTCCCAAACAACCAAGAAGAGCTTAGCCCTAGAGACTGAGGGCTCCCATCCTTACCAGAGCTTAAAAACAATCCTTTTTACTTCAGCTTTTGTCATCCATACAAACGTCCAACTCCCATCGAGCTCCTGGCTCCACAGACAGCGCGAAGGGGAGGCCAACTGTGTGCTCCTCCAAAAGGTATTTCCTTTCCTGGGAAGCTCCTTGTGTCCCTCCCCAGTCTCTTCATGCACGAGTTCAGCCAGGGCTCAGACGCTCTCACCACCAGACCTGACTGCTGCATCAACTGGCAACGCGCTATTCATGTTCACCTCTGAGATGTTAACTGATGTTTTCTTCACTCCTTGTACAAAGAGCCACTGAAGGCAGCTGATGGGTGTCCCTCTGGGCTGCCTTCCAGAGCTGCCCTGTCCTCCTCCCTTCCCATCTCTCCCACCTTCTCACGCCTGAAGCCAGGACCAAGAGGGAGGGACCCCTCCTGATCCCAGCCCAAAGACAGTGGCTGCTGGCCAGGCTGTGTGACCCAGCTCTGAGCATCGGACTTCCTCAAAGCAGGAACTTTCTCTGGCAGCTTCCTGAACGTTTTAGAGTGCACTTAACAGCCTTCCTGTGCTGTGACCCTGTGCCTCCAGCACTGACACCCTCTGGACCAGTGACAGCAGCCCTCAAAGTCCACAATGCAGAAGCATCATGTCAGCAATTCCTACAGTGGTTAAGTGCTTACTAAGGAAAACCAGGAATAAAAACTCCTCTCAGGAGCCATGCTGCCAGGATTCTGCACTCCTCCAAAGCACTTCAGGATGGACAAGCTGGAAGCTCTGGTTTTGTTCTCCCATTACAACATTCATATTTTTTTTGTTTTGTTTTTTTCTTTCTGGCATGAAACAAGCAGTTTCCCTGGACTTTCTCCTACAACCCAGCCCATGGATCCATTTTCCTCCAGAACACAAACCCCCTCCAGTTTCAGGAAAAAGGCAGCATTAAAAGAAATCACAGAATCACAACAGCCTGGTTTGGGTTGGGAGGGACCTTAAAGCACATCCAGTTCCAACCTCCTGCCACAGGCAGGGACCCCTCCCACTAGAGCAGCTTGCTCCAAGCCCCTGTGTGCAACCTGGCCTTGAACACTGCCAGGGATGGGGCAGCCACAGCTTCCTTGGGCGAATCATAACAAGTACGTACCTCTGACACCCCAAGGATGCACTGGGCACACAAAGAAAGACCCCACTGCTGCTGCTGCTGAGACTGGGAAACAGCCCTCAGCTTCATGGCCAAGATGTTCTTGTATCCCCGCCCCTCTGTGCAAACCCCAGGAGCCCCTTTCCCTATGAGGACATCAAACCAGCTTGTGCCTTTTTCCCAGATAAACCTTCCTGGGAACGAGCACCAAGTCAGCCTCTGCCATCAGGACAGCCTCGGAGATGCAAAGCTTGTGAGGTGAGCAACTAGAATCACAGACCCACGAGTGAGAGCCCTCACTAGCTGCAGGTCCCACTTCTGCTGAGCAGACCTGTGGTAGTGTGGAAGAATGTTGAGCTCTGCCAGATTATTTTCAGGAAAAGTTACCTGGAGATGTGCTTCAATACTGCTATGGGGTGATAAATCAGTGACCAGCCTGTGGAGCAGCCCTGCCCATAAGGTGTCAGGGGGAGAGATACGGATCTGGGAGCCAAGACGGATAGAGACCCACCACTGATCCAAGCGCTCCATGGGGCCAGAGGCTGCAGGCACTGAGCGCAGGGCAGAACAGCCCCAGCCAGGGCTCCTACATCCCTGACCCCAGCCCTGAGCAGAGTCCTCACCGGACCTTCCCTCGCAGTGTCCTCCCCCAGTTCCCAGCCTCTAAACCCGCCGATTCTCCCCGAGAACATCTCTCCTCCCCGGAGCAGCGCAGCGCGATGCCCCCCGCTGCTGCCGTCACTTACTGATGAAGTTGGCCTGCCCGGTGAAGATGGTGTACTGCAGCTCGTAGGAGCTGACGCTGAACTCATCCTCGGACATCCAGTGCACAGTGATGGTGTCGTGGGAGGCTGTGCAGAGCTCCTCCCGCACTGACGGCGGGTTCGGTGCTGCGGGAGATCACAAACAACCCGGTAAGGTCCTGCTTTCCCAATGCTCCCTGAGCTCAGACCTGAGAGCAGCCCTCAGTGCCCAAAGGGGCTACAGGAGACCTGGAGAGGTGCTTTGGACAAGGGCCTGTAGGGACAGGCCAAGGGGAATGGCTTGAACCTGCCAGAGGGGAGACTGAGATGAGCTCTTAGGCAGAAGCTCTTCCCTGTGAGGGTGCTGAGGCGCTGGCACAGGGTGCCCAGAGAAGCTGTGGCTGCCCCATCCCTGGCAGTGTTCAAGGCCAGGTTGGACACAGGGGCTTGGAGCAAGCTGCTCCAGTGGAAGGTGTCCCTGCCCGTGGCAGAGGTTGGGACTGGATGAGATTTAAGGTCTCTCCAACCCAACCCAACCCAACCTGTGCTTCACAGATATCATCATTTTTGACATGTTTCCTGAGTTCTCCCACCCTCCAGGACAGGCAGTGTGCACCAGTGACAGTGTGACACTGCCCTGGTGGCAGCGCAGCCTCAGCCAACCAGGTAAGTGCTGCCAGTGACAACAACCCGCAGCTCCTTTGCCGTGCAGTGCATGCTCACCCGTCAGGTAATCCAGCCCCTCCAGCAGCTTCTTCTCTCTGGAAAAATCCAAAGCAAAGTTTTCAAAGGCATCATTAAAATTGATATCTGGTATCAGAACTTGGGAGGAGGCGGTTGCCATGGCGACCCTGGAAGAAAAGAGGAGCCCATCAATACGCATCAGGGTGCGGGATGCTCCCGGCAGCGCTGAGGAAGGGGATTGGCGGGGATGCTGTGGGATACTGGCTCGTACCTACTACCCCTGCTCCTGCCCTAGGAGGGTGGCCTGGCCTGGGGACAGGTCCCACAGAGGTGTGTGTGGGGGGCTCCATCCCTGGGGGTCCAGCCCCAACTACCCTCCAAGCTCCCTCTGGATCAGCATTCCCACCCCTTCCCCCCTGGAATGATGTTTGCTCCCACAGGAGATGTTCAGCTTTGTGAGGACCTGCCATGCAGCCTCTGTTCTTCGAGGGCTGGGCACCAGAGACACCACAGAGCAGCATCCGCGGGCAGGTCCCTGCGAGCAAGGACAGCTCCAGCCACATCCCACCTCTCAGCCACGTTCCTGGCTGTCTGCAGGAACCGCGCGTGGTCGTTCTCCTTCAGGATGTGCTCTGCCTGGTTGATGAGGACCGTGGAGCGCTCCAGGCACTGCCGACAGTTGGCGACCTGCTGAGCCAGCTTCCGCAGCTTCATCACCTGTGAGGGGGAGCACAGCGGGGCTCAGAAAGGGGCTCAAAAGCCAGCACATGACCTGGAAAGCAGAGGAGAGACCTCATCCCAGGCCAGGGGCTGCTTAAGTAAGGCAAGAAACAGTGAAACAGTGCAGAATCGTCCCCATGCGTTCTGGGGAGGGACAGCAGCAATGCACTCCCTATGCTCAATCTTGCTTCCAGGTGGGAAAGCCTCAGGCAAAAGCCTGAATCTTGGAGCTCCCAACCGGTCCAAGAGGGTCCCCCAGGCCTCAGGGCTCCACACAAACATGTTCCTTGTCATACTTTCTGCTGCAGGTCAGTGCCACTGCAGTGGAGAGGGGTGGGGAGAGGCGGCAGAGCCCCTGCCCCTGCCTGCTCTCTGCCAGCTGCCCGGAGGGGCTGCAGCAGAATGCGCTAAGACTGAGGGCAGAAGCTGCAGGTGCTGTGGCCAGGGGCCAGTGTTACTGGGCTGGGCTGTGACACCAGCACCTGCAGAGCCCTGAGCACCGGATCTGTGCTGCGCGTGAAGAGTGCTCTTCAGACCAGCTGCCTCCTCCTCCCGCATCCTCCATCCTCCTCCCTTCCCTGGCCACTTTTCGCAGCACCACGTGCCACTGTGATCAGACCGCTCCACGCATCCATCGGGCTGTTTGTCAGGAAAATCCACACAGAACAATGGAAAACCAAGCGCCAGCTCAGCGGGAAGGTAGCGTTTCTGGAGCTGCAGCTGGAGAGCTTCAAACCAGCCGCAGTGGCCAGAGCTTCCTCCTGTCTCCTATGTTCGGAGCTTTTTAAGCTCCGCGGTGTTTGTGGCTGGGGCTCCTCACTACTCAGAGGTATCAAGAGTGATGGGGAAGGTGCCTGGCCTCCCTCAGCACAGGGACTGCAGCCGGGCACCGCAGTGCTGCAGACCCACACTTTAACATCCCCAGCCCGATTTCACCAGCAAAAAGGCTTGTTCCAGCTTCCAGGTGTCTGAAGTTACCTGGTGTCATGGTTTATCTTTGGAAGTCAGACCCAGTCCTGTCCCCAGTACACCCAGTACCACCATTCCCATGTCCATTCCCCACTGGTCTAGTGCTGAGTTTGCAGCTACATGGGCACAAGCTTGCTGCTCTGACCCTGGCTATAAGCAGCCGAGCATTGTTCTCCAGGTGGGTTTGGGCACTCATCAGGGCCTCTCCTCCACCCAGCTTCCAGTTTGTAGGAAAACATCTTTGAGCCTTCCAGCTCCCTGCCAAGCATGGCTGAAACTGGACAACGTGGCCAGAACACAGTAAGGGGCGAGGTGGGAAATGAGAGGCAGACAGACAGATGGACCAGCAGAAGGCACCGTTACATAAAATATGCTCCTGAGGTGGCTGGGATAAAAGCAGCATAACCAAGCTTCCACCCCAGCCGAGGGGTCCAAGCATCGTGCTGCTCTTGCACTCACAGCACAACCTACTCCCAGACCTTCACTGGTGTATGTGGGGTGATGCTACTCCCCAGCTCAGCTGTCAGCAAGTGATGGACACAGAGCTGGACGCTGATGAACCTCTGAGCTCAGCAGGAAAGGCAAAGGGCTCGTGCACACTCACTGTGAACTCAGAACTACAGAACTGTCCCTCTGTCCTGTCCCTCCAGTCTCTGCCCATCGCATGGAAACCACTGGGAAAAGCCAGAATCACTGGAGGAGGGGTCCAAACACACACCTCCCCCCAAGAAAGGGGTGAGAAGTGCTGCAATGCAGAGCATGTGCCTCTCCCTCACCTGCAATGCAGGGCTCGGGTGGCCCTTCAGCATTAATTCCACTGTATCCTATTAGCACTGCAGAGTTAGAAAAGCGCTGAGGAAACGTCTGGCCTGATCCAAGCACTGCATCCACTTGTCACGTTCATCAATGTGCCCTCCATCCTCTGGCGATGCCAAGCACATGCCTTGTCCTGGCAGGGGAACCCTGCGGACAGCAGGAGAGGACACCAGGACCCACGCCCCATCTGTGGGGCAGGGAGATGAAGCTGTGCTCACACCAACAGCTGCCTAGAGCAGATCAGCTCCTTCATGCCAAGGCAATAAGCCACTGTCAGCATCTCTGTGTGTGTGCTGCTGGGACATCCCAGCCCCACGGGCACAAGAGGGGACCCTGGAACCATGGTTCAAGCTCTCCAGCTCTCCTTACCTTCGTCTCCTTGATCTTGACAGCGATGACCTGCTTGCGCTGGCGGATGATCTCCATGAGCTCGTCACACTCCTCCATCAGCTTGGCCTCATGCATGGCTGTGTTAACCTAGCCAGGGCAGCAAAAGCACACATGCTTTTAGGAGGCACATGCTCATCCCTGAGCCCAGGAGCGCCGCGGCTCCCCCAGCTCAGACCAGGGGACATGCAATAGGTATCCTCCATGCTCGCCCGCATCCAGCTGGAGGAAGGAAGAAGGCTGGAGAAGGGGGTGAGTCCCTCCTCGCTGCACAACCAGGGTCAGTGTTGGGTGGTGGGGCTGCACTGGGTGCTCATGGGGCACAGGCTCCTCCACAGGTACTGCCCCTGCCGGGGGCACTGGCTGCAGGAGCCAGGCTCAGCCCCAGTCATGGCTCCATTGCTTCCCAACAAAGCCTGTGCACCACCGGCCAGCACCAGAGGCTCAGGAATCTCCCTGTCTCCCTGCATGTTTTGGTGTGCTCAGCACAGCACAGGCAGAGGTTTCAGGCCTCTGCCTCCGGGACAGACCAGCATCCCTGGGGGGATACACTTGACAGAAGGGGCTCAAGCCCTGTCACTCAAACCCACCAGTGCACTAGAGGACAAGGACAGGCTGTCTTCATTCCATACCCTCGGAGCTGTGTGAAGCAGTGGGGAATCTGAAGGCAGCCCAGAGTTAAACACATTCTGTACAAGAGCTTTTTTTAAACCTGGCCAGCAGCTTATGCAACTCCGAAGTGGGAGACAGCCGATGGGCTGCGAGGACAGCTCCAGCAGGAAAACAGAGCAGGATCTGCCCCATCTGCTGTGGAGGGGGGACAAGATCAGGGGCTGGAGCCTGCAGCAATCTGTGCTGCCTTGCAACCCGGCTGTCACAGGGGATGCTGGCAGCACACTCGCCCCTGCGTGCGGCAGAGGTGGCATCACCAAACCCTCCCAGAGCACAGATCAGGGCTGTGTCTGCAGCCCCAGTGTTTGCTGTTGCCACTGGGAGGGAGACCTGGGTGCAAAGATCCCAGAGGAGAAGTGTCGGGGGGGGATCACTCACCAGGCTGAGACCCCAGGCCCCTGCTTCCATTAACCCCAAAGCTGAAAACCCACCCAGGGCCAGGGCTCTGCAGCTCAGCCACCACCCATGCTCTGGGAGGCTGATGGCAGATGGGGGCACAGAGCCCACCACAGCCCTTCCTCAGCTGCCTCCTCTCCACAAAGGAGCATCCGAGGCCACGGTCCCAGCCCCACAGTGCTGGCAGAGCATGGAGCAGGGATTTCAGGCCAGCATGGCTCAGCCTAACACTGCCCAAAGCACTTTTCATTAGGATGAACCAGTTCCCATAGCAGGTAAATGCTGCATTTGAGGTGAATTCTCAGCAGGTGCTATGGCTGTAGGAAAGCCTCTTAGACATACAGAGTGGGGGAAAAAATATTTCACTCTTCTCAAAGCATGTGTGGGAATGTGCTAGGGACAATACACCCCTACAGCAAAAAGCAATGGTAAAACTCAAACCTGAAGACGGGCATTGCAGCTCGCGGAGGGCTGAGGAGCATTCCTGCAGCCTGAGGTGGGAGTCAGCACACATAAACCTCCTCCTCCTCACCCAGGCAGTGGGAACCCAGCTCCAAGATGGAGAAGGGAACCCCAGCCCACCCCAAAGCTATTCACAGGGTGCAGGGGACATGCACCAGGCCAGCTCCATGCAGCACAGTGTGAGGGCAGCAACTTCTACCCCCGTGACAGTACATCAGGGTGCCGAAGTAACCACCCTGGTGCTTTGGGCTCCTCGCAGGGCTGCTACCTGCTCTCTATGGTCCTCATTTCCATCACAGGATGTGCTCCCTTTGCCCTCTCTCCCCAGAAGCCCCATGCACCATCCCCAAGGGGTCACTCCTCGCAGGCTCCATGTATGGGGACTCCCGTGACACCCTTCTCCAGGGGCTGGCCTCCCTCCTCTGCACCTCAGGGTGCCGGTGTCACAGTCCTTTGGACATCGTGTAGGACTTATACTGGACATGGGCAGGGTACTGGGATCGCACATGTCTGCTTATGCACAGCATCCCCAGATAGCTCCAAAGCACAATCCCCGCGACACAGCCTCCAAGGGAAGTGTGGAGGGACAGAGATATTTTCTACTTCACACTTCAGTGTGCTCTCTGAAGGGCAGGGCTGCATATTTAGTAAGGCTGAGAAATGAATTTCAACCGTTATTTTAAGCAGAGTGACTGACAAAGCTGAAAACTCCAAAACTATGTAGGAAATGGCAGCCTGGGGGCCTGAAACTTCCAGAATTAGAAAGAAACACCAAATAGCTTTCCGTTCATCACAGGTTAGTCCAGAAGATGCTAGAGCTGGATCCAGAGGAGGAGGTTTGGAAGGACATCCACATGCATCCCTGCTCCAACCCCATTGGGGTCACAGAGTCAAAGCATGACCTTTAAGAGCAGTGAGGGCTGCTGATGGTCACCAGGGCTATGGAGGGACATTCTGGCTCCCTCTCTGCCTGCCGGACACCCGCTTGCTCTCTGTGGACCACAGTCCCCCTAGACCCGCTGGGAGGAGGCAGCCGATGCTTCGCCAGCAGTGCCGGGTCAGGAAGCTCTGTTCTTCATCCTTCATGAAGGTGCCGGGTCAAGGAACCGCTGCTTAATTTATCAACCAGAAAACACCAACAGCCCATTAAAACAACCCTGCTTGTGACAGCCTCTCTCGTGTTCCACTTCAGCAGAGCTGCAAATTAATTTGCCATTAATTGGTACATGCGCTTTGAAACAGCAGCGAGGTGTGAAGCATCTTCCTCCTCTCGAGTGCTTTCCAAGCAGAGCATCACTTCTGAACTCCCGGAGCTGGGGCCGCAGCCAAGACTCGGCATCAGGCTGTGGCACGATGCAAACAAGAGATGCCTGACTGCACACCAGGAACACAGAGCGCTTACAGATCAAGTGGTGAAAGCAGCAAGGTCAGCAGAGCCCCTCTCCTCAGCAGGATTACGGGTGATCTCCTCTCTTCTGCTAGTGCTTGCTGTAATCCCCTCTACAAAGCCTTCCTCCTCACTGCCTGTTTAAGCTTGAGCGTTGCTATTCTGCTGCGGAATGCTGGGCTCAGGCAGGAGAGATTGTAACCGCTGCCTGGCAGCAGGGAGGAGGCCGAGTGCATGTTTGGGAAGAGGATAGGAAGTAGGAACTCTGGCTGCTGCAAACAGGCAGAAAGTCTGGGACCAGCCTTGTCTTGCAAGGGGAAGCTGCGGGGGATGGAAACAATGTCCCTGCCTGAGCCAGGGCACTGGGGACAAGTCAGTCTGCCCACACTGCCACACGAGGAGCCTGACCCCGAACACAGACTGAGTTAGAGACGAGGAAAACAGCTTTAACAGTGAGGTTCAGCAAGGAACAGTGCTGCACTGGCCCCACACCAGCCTGTGGGGAGGGTCTGGGGTGGGACAGCCCAGAAAGTACATGGGAGGTGTGTGAAAATTACAGCCACTGCCCCGTGATGCAGAAGTGGGGTTATAGCCTGGGAACAGCCAAACCCACCCTTTTCCCTCCCCTCAGAGCACTGGAAGTGACCAGCCTGGGGGCTGGTGCCTCTTCCCAGTGGCTCCCAGTCACACCTCCCTCTCCTTCAGACCATGCAGACCCCTGGAAGCATCCCCACATCCTCCGTCAGCCTCCTGTCGCACTTTGGCATCAGTGACGCTTCCCACCATGCTCACCTCCATCCCCAGGGCAGCCCCTGAGAAAGGACGCAGGAGCAATGCCGCGTACCTGCCATTCCCACTGGTGCAGCTTCCCCATCACACCCCCCAGCCTCTGACCGCTCTCACCAACCTCCACTTGCTGGCAGATCTGTATGAGCTTGGCCATCTGGTTCTCCAGTTCGCTGTTGCGCTTCACCAGGTTGGTGAGATTCGTCTCCAGTGTTTGCTGCAAGAACCGGGAGAGGAGGAAGAGAAAAAGCAAAGAGGTCAGCAGAGACAGGACCCCCTGACCAGTGCCCCAGCCACAACCATTTCCCGCTCCATGTGCCCCCTGAGGGAGCCACAACTGGAATAACTCTGGAATAACAGCTCGGGTGTCCTGGCAGCTCCTGGTGAGCTGTGCGAGCGTTCGGCACTGCGGTGGCCCTGGGGAGGTGACAGTGGGGTGTCTGCCCTTTGCTGCTCCTTTGGGGCTGTTGGAGGAGCCAGGGCTGTGCTCTTTCCTGCAGCAAAACCGAGCATCTCCTGTGCTCCCTGGAAAACTTTATGGCAAGCTAGAATAACACCAGGAGTATCTTCAGTATCTCAAAAATGTTCTTAAACCACTCGCTTCTGCTGAACCCTCTGACAATGGGGGGAGACCAAACACGCTGCTCCCCAGGTTCCTGCCCGGGAGGAAGCCAGCACGGCTGTTTCCATCATCCACAGATCTCATCCTGCTTCCTTACTGTATTGCTCATGGTAAGGAAGTGGGACAAGATCCTAATGAACCACGGGAGAGGCATCTCTCTCCTCTTCAAACCATCCCTGCCAGAGCGATGCAGGGATGGGCAGAGGGAGCAATGCAGCAGCTCTGGATGGCGCCAGGACAGCTCCCGCCAGACCTCACTTCAGGCTGCTGTGCTCCTGGAGCAGAACAGGAGAAAGGGCCTGTTGGTGAAGCTGTTGGTATCTGCAGACGCGCAGTGGACCGGTGTTCTTCTGGATATCAATAATTTAAGTGACAACACATTTCCATTAAAATATATGGTTCCACTAAGAGGAAATGCCTTATAACAAGCACTCGGTACCTGTTGCAGCGCTTGTTGGGAAAATGATATCCTATTAATATTTTAAATGTCAGGGCTAGAAAAGTATCCCTGCGGTGCTTCCTTCATCTTTGGCTGGAAACTGCCGTGTGAGGCATTCACCACGGCTGCAGCAGACCCAGCACCACAGTTAATTTGGGGGCTAGTTAGCCAAGAGAACTTGGATCACAGTCCTGGAGCACGGGCAAAGCACTCATTCCTGAAAAACCACCGGCTCCCAAAATAGCCTGGGCTCGTTTGCAGCGTTGCAGATTGCAGCCAGCGGCGGGTGAGGCAGCATGCAGGAGCAGGCTGGAAAACGGAGTAAAACCTCAGGTGCCTTCATTAAGAGGAAGTGCTTTGCGAGACAGCGCGGTGTTGATAATGAAGCAGCAGCTGCGGGAGGCTCCTGCCACCCTCTCCCTACAGCTCAGTATCACCAAACACAGCCTGACGCAGGCCCCGAACACCTCACTTGCTGATCACCCCCTCAGCCCTCCCCACTGCACTGAAGGTGCAGCTCTGAAACAGCAGCAAATCTGCTTCCATGTTCCGGGACTGCTGTGCAGGGGGCATGAACTCGAGATGCGTGTTTTGAAGCGCACAAGCCCAGCACACACCTGCAGCATCCCACACCTGCCAGGGACAGCATCACTCCTCCCTGTCCTTCAGCACCCACAGGCTGCCCCTGAGCACCCATCCTCCAGCGAGTGGTGCTGAGGCAGGGGCCGATCCATGCTAGTGACATCTCCAGTACCAAACCCCTCCCTGGCTGCACCTCTGGCTGTGTGCCTCTGTGAACCTCTGTGCCACACATGAACACACAGATGGAACCATTTCTTTCGGTTTGACTTGCTAAAACAACTGAAATGCAACAGAAGCTTTGATTACAGCAGCTGGGTTTTCTGTAGGTACATATAAATTACCACAGTTATAGGGGTTGTTTCTTAATTGCATTATAACATGTTCATAATTTCCTCACATTCTGGCCTGAAGTACAGACAAGCCGACTGCTGTACCATTGGGAAGAGAAGAGAGAAAAAGAGAGGAAAAGGAAACTCCACCGTGTCCTTGAGCAGAAGGCATTGGTGCTCAGTGAGATGAAGCGATGGAAACCCTTCACCACGGAAGGCAGGACCAGGGATGGAGACTGCATGGACACAAGAGTCCCCATGGGAAGCAGCTGAGCCCTGCCTAGGATGAGGCGCTTCCCATGCAGCTCCCAACTCCCCCTTCAGGACCCATCCCTCCACAGCATCTCAGGCAGCTCAGGGGCTGCACCCCATTTACCTGCTGGTGACTGGATGAACAAAAAGTCAGGGCCCAGCTAAATGAGCACAGCACCGATGGGCAAGTGCTGAGCTTCACGTTCTATTTAGTCATGTGTATGAGGTGCCACAACTCGATTTTCCTTTTCCTCCAAATACCAAACAAGCAGCTGAACCAAAGGTAGATTTTCTGTCTGAAGCCAGCACCTCTCCTTCACCAGAGGGAACTCCTAGGAGTGGGACAGGAGAACCTGGAGTGCCCTGGGGAAAGCCTTGCCATGGGAGCGCACAGGTCATTGGTTGTGTGAGGACCTGCTGCTGCTGCTGCTGCTCTGGGCTGATGCTCACTCACACCCTGACAGGTGAGAGGGCTTGGAAGGGTCTCGTGTGACTCTGCCCTGTTACACAACCAGCTTTCCACTTTCATCTTCATGTGAAGGCTGCCAAAACTGAGCATTTACTTTCCGTGATTTATTTAGGGCTTTTTCCACCGCCCTTGTTCGTTTGTAACTGCTTTCAATAGAGGATGCGAGTCCCTGCCCAGCTCCCGCTGTGTACCACAAACACAAGCCACATGTGTGTCCATAACCCCGTGTACAGGCGCACATGCACACAAGTCAAACCAGCTGTGAAATGCAGAGCAGCAGGACAATGTGTCCCTGCGTGCCCACCGTCACACACCAGCTCACCACAAGGAGCAGGGGAGGGAAGGGCAGCCACTGGCGGGACGGCAGAGGATGCACACCAAGCCTCATGGGCAACAACACAAGACCCAGGGTGCCATCCCTCCTGTGCCAGCCGTGCTGCACACACCCCACCTTCCCCCAGAGGGGAGACCTTCCATCTGCTCCCCAGGCCACAGGGCATTGCCTGGGTACAGAGGGACAGGACTGGGATGTCCCAGGATGCTCCTGCCCCAATCTCAAGCCCTTGTTCCTTTCAGAAAGGCTGCCAAGGGGCTTCTCTTACCAAGCTCCTCCTGAATGAGAACTGGGGGGCAGCCAGGCCACCCCTGCTCCCTGTCACTAGCCCGTGGCCATGAACGACAAGCCCTGAGTAACCCTCCCTGCAGCAACATGGGACTGAGAATGATTGTTCATCCTCCTCAGGAAATTCCTCTCCTTCCGCGGCTTCAGACAAGCTGGGGTTTTTGGCAGGAAGGGCTGAAGGAGGGAACCAAACCCGCATCGCTTGCAGGGAGCTCCAGCAGCCTGTTGGGTTTACACATGACCAGGAGCCACCTGGAAAATCCTGTAGCAGAGTGAAGGGGCACTTGAAGAGGACACGTCACATCCTCGCTCAACACCCACTCCACACCTCCCAGGAAAGCACATCCCGCGGCCACTGCGTTGCGGAGAAGCCGGGAAACAGGCACCTCTTCCAAGGCAAAACACCCCTGCTCCTGCTCATGCTTCCCAACCTCCTGGCAAACCCTCATGGTGCTTCTCCGTCTGGCTCCACTTCCCTCCCTCCCTTCCCCAGTGCTTCTCCGTGCTGGTGAGGCATGAGGCACCGACCATGGGCCCTCCCTGCTGACAGTGGAACACTGGTTCCCCAGGATCACAGCTCCCGGGGCAGGAAGCTGCTGGACAAGAGAGCTGAAACACTGACATGACCCAGGGTATTGCACCACAAAGGTCTGAAGGCTCCAAAACACCTCCTAGACCTTTCCCTGAGGTGCAGCAGCTTTGCCAGGGCCCTTCTCATTGCATCACTCCACCTACACACCTTCACAAAGCCCACCATGTTCCTCCTCAAGCAGCTCCTGCTGGAGCTTCGCTCCGTCCCCTTGTGTACCATGGGGACACACCTGAGACACATCCTCAACCACGGCTGAGATTCCAACATCCACCAAGCCACATGGATGCCCCCAGAGTCAGACATCTCAAGGTACACCGGGTTTCTCAACTGAGAAAACAAGAGGGAAACCAGTCGTGGGTACCACTCGCTGCCACTCAGCAGGAGCAGCCCTGGGCTGCACTTGCTTCCTCCCAGTACCTCGCTCCTTGTTCTCCAGAACCTGACAACATGTTTCTGCTCCTGCAGGCAGGGAACCTGAGGAGAGGGGTGGAGAGCACACGCTGATTCTCCTGTAAATCAGAGCTGTCCCGCACACAGCTCAAAGGGGGAGGAAAATTAAACGCAGTAGTTTAATGCTGTCATTTCTCCAATGCTGCTGATTACTTGCAGACTCTGTCTGAAGCATCGTTTTGGCAGGTTTTGCTGTCTGGCTGCTCGCGTGCATCTCAAGGACCTACACCTCCCTTCTTTGCTCTTTGGGTCCCCGTGCCATTCACAGAAACAAGGGCTCTGCTTCAGTAAACATTCCTTCAGGCAGAGATGCTGCAAAAGCCCCAGCACCTGCAAGTCCTTGGTATGAGTGGTGCTCCTTGCTGAAGTCAGCAGGGGAAGGGCTCACTGGTGATGGATAACCTCTTGCTGCTGGAGCTTGTCCACACCACAGCATATCCCAGGGAACGAGCTGTTCCCTGGCAAGCCGCATTGATCCATTCTCCTCGGTAAAATAAGAAGGATGGGAATGAGGCAGCTGACACCCCTCCCTGCCACGGGGCAGTCGGCCCTTCTCCTAAGTCATCATACGGCGCAAGGGCTCCAGGTGTGAGACCGTAGTGCAGAGGGGAGAATCCCCCAAAGCACAGCATGGGCAGCCTGTGCCTTGTGGGAGCCTTGTCCTGGAAGCTGGAGGAGAAACCAGGAGCTGCCCGCAGGCAGCTCAGCTTGCACGCTCCATCTCTGAACGTCAGGATGGTCCATGGAATGCTACCATTCTGGAGGGCTGGCCACAGCCAAGACGGTTCCTTTCTGGCCACCCCAGCTCAGCACTGTGACAGTCCTCCAACACACTAACAGTTACAAATACACCAAGAAAT